GAGGACAATGATGGTAAAAGAAAGCATATCAAAACTATTATTTTTCAAGGATCTAATTCCTGACAGATTTAGGCTCTTAACTTTCAAGTCCTATGAATAAATTATAAGGAAGATAGGGTTATTACTTTTTGAGACATGAAAACAGGAACATATTAACACACAGTATAAAGTTAGCATACAAAGAAGGCCTATTTTGACTCTAAGGATAAACTTTTCTCTTTTATACCATGATTCCTATGCTGTTTCCTTTGCATGGAATACTTTCTCCTTTCTTTGTGTGACCCAGCCCATATGCTACCCTATCTATGAAAAGTCCCCTTATCCCTTCATCCAGCATTTTGGTTTGGATATGAAGTGTCCCCCAAAAGCTCCTGAGTTAATGCAGGAATGTACCGCAGTGAAACGAGTGAATTATCAGAGCTGTAATCAAATCAGTCCACCCTAGTTTGAATGGACTAACTGGAGGGAAAATGCAGGCAGGAGGGGCATGGCTGGAAGAGGTGGGTCACTGGGGGCATGCTCTAAAAGGATTCATCTTCTCTGGAGCCCCTTCCCTTTCTCTCTCTGATTCCTGGCCACTGTGAATGGAACAGTGCTCCTCCACCATGCCCTTTCACCATGATATCATTCTACCTCACTTCGAGCACAGACCAATGGATTCCACCAACATGAAGTAAATGTCTGAACCTGTGAGCCAAAATAAATGTTCCCTGCTCTAAGTTGTTCTTGTCAGGTATTTTGGTCATAGCTACATAAAGTTGACTAACAGCCAGAATTACACTTTCTTCCTCTAAATTATATGGTAAAAAACAAATTAATTCCATCTTTTAAGATTTCTTCTACTATTTATAACAATCATAATAGTTAATATTTGAGTGTTTCCTATGTTAGATATACATAATATACTATGTATATTGTATCACTCAATACTTCTAACACTCTTGGAAAGGATCCTATTATCACACTCATTTTTATAGATGAGGGAAATGAGGCTGAGAAAGGTGAAGTAATTTGCTAACAGTTAACAGATAAAAGGAAGGATCAGGAGGATACAAACCTGCATGGTCAAATTCCCAAACCCATTATCTACTACACTAATCCATATACTAATTCATTGTTCAGCACAAGAGTCTCTCTTGCCTGTTCATATATTTTCATCTGTATCCCATTTTTTTCCCTATTGAAGCCTATTAAATTCTGGTGCATATTATTTATTGATGTGGATCTAACCTTTATTATTATTTTTTTTAATAACAGAAACTAGTCCCTACAGAGAAATAAATACAGGAGGGTCTCATGTGGAAAAAGTAGGTATTACTAGAAAAGGAAAATACAACTGCTGTTTTTCTTTAGATTCATGTCTTTTATATATATATATATATATATATATATATATATATATTTTGAAGAGTTATTTTATATATATAAAATAACTCTTTAATGTAATCATTTTATCAAGCATGGTTTCAATTCTAAAGTGCATATGTTGCAAGCACTTAGGGGAAAAGAAAACTTTAACTAAATGTAGAAAAAGCCCATTCCCTAAGAAAACTTTARTTAAATGTAGAAAAATTTAATTTATTTTACACATAAAAATGAATAAGGATAATTTATAAATGTTCAATTTCAGGACACAAAGAAACACTAAAATGTAAAGTCTTGGCCATATGTCCTCATGCAGGTATTAAAGATATAAAATTATAAGAACTAAAAATGCATATCAATAAAGGTACAAAATATTTAATAAAATAAGGGCCTGAAAGCTGCCTGAAAAATAGAGGATTTCAAAAAACTTTTTTTATTAGAAAATAATTTCAAATGAACAGAGAGTTCATCAAGAATCATCCTCATCCTCATATTCTTCATCTAGATTCACCAGATTCAGATTTTTCTGTTCATGAATAAGAAATAAGTATTTTTGCAAACCATTTGTGATTAGAGGTTGTTGTTGCTGAGATTTTGTATGTTCTCAATCTGTCATACATCCACATTCATATACACAAATAAGTGTGTTACATATACATACATACATATGTAACACGTATACATGCACATATTTTTTTAACCATATGAGGATAAATTACTTATATCATTGCCCTTTATCCTGAACAGTGCAGTATTTCTAAGAATAATGATATTATATAACCACAGTTCTGTTAAAGTTCAAATTTGATTCCATATTTTYCTCTAATCTACCACTTGTATTCCAGTTTTGACAATCAGCAGTCAGCATTCAATTGCTTATGAGCAAGAGTATTCGTTTCTTCTACTAGCCAAACTATTTATGTCCTTCTTAGCATTTTTTTTCCATTCTAGTATAGAATCCAGTCTATGGTCAAATACTGTATTTAGTTTTCATAACTAAAGACTCTTTAACTTTTTAGTGTTGACTATTTTATCACCTTTTTAAAAAATGGTATTGACATGTCTGAAGCATACAACTTCTACACATATGTGCATACACACATACATACACCTACACTCACACACATTTAAAATGAAATTTTCTTTCCTGGTTTTCTCTGATGTTTCTTCATGATCAGAGTCAGGTTACACATTCTAGAATACTACACAGGTATCCTTTTCAGAGACTCACATTTGGAGTCATAAAATGTTCTTCATTGGTAAAATCAACTTTTAGCACCAAAGTATTTTCTGATTTTTCTACTATATAATTACTATTTTCACCCTTGTAATTAATAAGTGGTTTACCAAGTATAACTAATTAGAAMAAATGAAAAAATGTGAATATGTAGATAAATTAAAATTTCCCCCTAAATTTACCATCTAAATTTGTGCCCAATTCAGTCTTCACTAATAAGTGAATAATGCTAATTTCCCAATCTAGCAGCTTCTCTGCAGTTAGCAGTCAGCATTCAATTGCTTATGAGCAAGAGTATTCCTTTCTTCTACAAGCCAAACTATTTATAAACGGTATGGACTCATAAATTACTATCTTTTTAATGGTTTATAATTTATTAATGTACTTAGTAATTTTGKGAAGTTCTTCCAAATTTGGCCAACAGAAGTCCCTTCAAGGTACTTCCTTATGACACATCATTACCACTTTGAGCACCTTCTGGTCTTCTGGCATAAGATGTTCCAGTTTTCTAATGTACTTACACTTCCCTATCCCTGAAAACTGTCATTTCACCAATAGGAGCCTAGGTTCCTGTAGTGGGAGATGGTATCTGGAAATTTAAATAAGGCTCTGTGCTCATTAGATTCAGGTTCTCTTTTAATTTGAGAATCTTTTCTTGAATTATAGTTCTAAATATTAGTGCTATTCAGTTGTTCTGGTTCATTTCTTCAAGAAATCCTTATTTCTTTATTTCATTTTCCTGATTGTTTTCTTCAATACTTATTCACTTAAATGTATCTTCCTTGGGCTCCTGGYAATTTAGATTTCAATTCTGATATTACTTTATTTTTTTCTATTTCTTTCCTAAATTTTACCAACTTTCACCTCAATTTTTTTCTGTTTTTAAATTTCAATTCTTGATATTGCTTTTTTAAATTTATGATATGAAGTTTTTTTTTCCTTTACCCGCATGCTTATTGTTGTACATAATAATTGAGTTTGGAGGGTTACATTACCATTTTCTTCAATTTTGTGATTCCATTGTTTTGTAAAGTTTTCATCAGGAGTAACGCTTTAATTCACATTATTTGATTTCTGCAGTTGTTTGATAATAATAAAGACAGAATTTTTTTCTTTCTTTCATTCTTTTTGTTTTAATTTCACAGCAAAAAAGAGTTCTTAATTCAAGAGCCCCCTCTTCTGTGCAGTTTTTTTTTTTATGGATCACGTTATTGATGGTCATGGGGTGGGGTGGGATAGATTGGTATGTCTTGTTTCTATCTCATTTCTATAAAATCTTAATCCACACCCCTCCCCATATGCCCTTCTTTCCTGCCATTGCCTAATCTCTAAGGCCTTCCATCCATTCTCTATTTACCTGATCCTTCTGCAGAAGCAAAGATTTTCTGAGGCTGCTGCTTCTAGATGCACACTTGAAGTACTACTTCTTGCACTTAGTGCAGAGAACTATCAAGTCCTGACTCATACCCAGAATTGTAGCATTTATTATTGCACTTTCTGATTTCTGGGGCTGATTTTGTTTGCTTTTCATCTAATTCCCCAGATTCTCTATACTCTTTTTCAGTCTTTTGAGCCTTCTTTCTTCTGCTCTCTGTTCCCTAGGTTTCACTGGCAGGCAAGATGTAGGAATTTAGTTTGTTTGTTTGTTTGTTTGACTTAAGTCTTCTGTGAAGGCTGTGGTGGTCCCTGTCACAAAGTCATACTGAAGATATGATTCCTGTATGACTACATTTCTCTTTGTTGATTTTATGTTTTCTAGCAGTATAGGGGGAAAGAAATTAAAAATCAAGCCTCTCCATTGAACTTTAAAAGTATTATCTTAACTCTCTACTCCTATTTATATTTTATTTGTATTTGTGCTTTCCTTTCATAATGTATTTTTTTTTATTCACATCAAATTCTTTGAAGAGTAGGCAGAGTGAAACTAGAAAAAAAAACTAAGTTTTTTTTATTAACAACTAAATGTAAAAAAATGCTTTGTCTTGGAGTTTAATTTTATTTTGGATTATTTTGCTTTTCTTTAATAGAATAAGGTATGAATAACAATAGAAAGGGAAAAAAGAAGGAAGACAAAAAGAAAGAAAGAAAGAAAGAAAGAAAGAAAGAAAGAAAGAAAGAAAGAAAGAAAGAAAGAAAGAAAGATAGATAATAGAAATGAGATTGGTCATTTTGGTCAATGGAAAGCATTTCAAAAAGGAGTTCTGACATTCCTTTGAGCAACAGTAGCAGGATGTTAATGCAGATACAGTTTACAAAAGTGATTTTTTTTAAAGACATATACCATTTTATACTAAATAATTTGCATCAGTAAACTCTGGGATATTATAAAGAAGCACTGCTTTAAATTATACCTTGTTTACACACATGCGCAAGACAGACACACGCTGCATGTACTCACTTGTTTCGCATTCTGGAGCTCTTCTGTCAGTTGTTTCCTTTGCCTCTCTGACTCCAATAATTTTGCCTRTATTTAAACACCTTGAATTAGTAACTACTTATAAAGGTATACATCAGTATAATTTTTGGTTCTTTATTTCAAAGCTTATGAATTCCCTACACTTCAAAAACTGCTACAAATCTAAAAATGTAGTTCCCAGTCACTTTCCTGGCTTTACAGACATCATTTAAAAGTAATTAGGTATCTATTGTATAATTGTGATGTGAAGATATTTTTGCCTCAAAAACTGAGGTCCAAAAAAGTCAATCAGAACCCAATGTATAAATATTGACTAAGTTTTGGACAAGAGCTATCTTCACCAAAKAGCTTCTAAACATGTTATAATTATCATTATATTAGCTAATAATATGTTAGCATTATCATTAGGAATTAGGAGTAAAGAGAGAACATATAAGATTGGGTTGACTATTATTTTATTAATTTAAATTTAACTTACTCTTAGAAGATTGTCAAAAAAAGGAAGATAGGACAGGTATTAACCAAATGTGAAATAAGAGTATTAATGCAGAGTAAAATATTATTATCCTTGAAGTTAAAATTAAGGCAAGCATATATTATAAACAGTTCAATTTTCTTAAATATGTTTTTTTTTAAAAAAACAAATTTTATTGATCAACTCAGAAATAGTAACAGTAATTTAAGAATTGTTTTACTACAAACCTGAGGAGAGGAATTACTGAATGTTAAATTGAGTGGTAAAAGATTCATGGCAACATTGCAATGTTTATAAGAGGCAATCTGTTTTCTGGAATAGTTCAGCTCACTCATGTCTAAGAGGTGAAATGAAGGTATGTGAAGATGAATATAATATAGTGATCTAATGAACATGCTGCAGATCAGGAATCACAAGACTGCTGGCTCTTATGCTTTTATGTTCTGGAATTCACCTTCACTTTTTGTCCTCTAGGCTTTTGCATCTGTGAATGGAAAATATCTATTCTCATTCACCTCTCTGCAAAGTAGCACTGCTGTGAATTCTGCAAAAAAGGCTATAATTTCAGCCTACAGTGCTTTTTTAAAGATTATTTCTACAAAATAAAAATCAGCCATTGGCATAGAATTATCTTGGTGTCATTTTTAATTGTACCAAAAGTCAGACATGAAGAACAGAGATGTCACAGGACAATGAAAAGTGATGACAGAGCATCTCCATACTCAGAACTTCCCTTAACAACCTGTGTGTGTGTGTGTGTGCGTGTGTTACGCTACAAGAAGACAACTGAAAATATAAACATTACCTCAAAAGTATTAATTGCATAGTACAATATTTTGTATAGCTTTTAAAAATCATCTTCAGTCAATAGGTAGATTTTGAGGTAAAGGTATTTATAACATGTACAATTTGTTTTATCTGGGATTTCAGTTTTGCCACAATCGGATTTGTTCAGTTACATTTCATGAACTTCAAATGTGACCCTAATTTATTGTATGGCTCCTCAGAGAACCTTGTGTAAATATTACATAACTATGGATTATATAATTTTAATTTAAAATTTTAGTAATATTAATGTTCAAATAAAAACTGAAATATATCATTAAATTTAACAATGATAAAATTTAAGAAAACAGAAGATTTAGAGTCTGAAAATTCTGATATTCACATGATTTACTTATTTATGTAGCGCTATGTAAAGTAAAAATGGTATTTTATCAGGGTAATCAACATTGAAGATTTTTTTAAGAGAATATGAGGCAAAAACCATCCATTTATTTTTAAAACTAAGTTTCTATTTTTCTATCTCAACTTTTGTTACAAAAAAATGAGGAAAGATAATWATAACTTCAAAATTATTAACAGAAATATATAAACTATTCCTATACCAGTGAAATGCTTGTAAACATCTGGAAAGAATGTAAATTGGCAAAGTCTATGAAAGGAAATCTGATTCCATTATAGAAATTTCTATGTTTACATATCCTTTAATACAGCAATTCCACTTTCAGAGACTTATTCTATTTAGATACTTATACAACTTCMCAAAAAATACATCTACAAAGCTTTGAAAGTGTAATTGGTTTTTCTTATATTTACTTATTTATTTATTTACTTTTATGGTGCTGGGGATTGCACCCAAAGCCTCATGCATGTTAGGTGAGCTATACCCCCAGCCTGAAAGTGGAATTATTTCTAATAATGGAAAGAGCCTAACTATCCATCCACAGAGAACTGGCTACATAACCTAGTAAAGAACTATTCATTGTACAGAATAATATGGCAGATCTATATATATTACCTGAAAAGCTGCCAAAAATTTAACTCTGATAAAAAGAGAAGACAAGTTGTAAAAATGTTTCACTGTATGAAGTAACTTATAAAAAAATTAAAATACACATATACACTTTCTTTTCTTTTTCTTTTTTTGCTGTTAAGACTTCAGATTTTTAGAGCAATTTTAGGTTTACAGTTAAACTGAGAGAAAGCACAGAGATTCACCAGATATTCCCTGACACCASATATACATTTACTTTTTGAAACAGGACTGGCTGGGTACAGAAGCTGTCTGAAAAGATAAAAGATTTTTTTTTTTTTTTTTTTTAATAATGGCTTCTGCTAGAGGGTGGAACTGTTAAAACTAAGGGAGATGAGCAAGAATTCTTTCTCTTTTTTTCTGCAAGTTATTTATTTCAACAAAAATAAAACAATTAACAGAATTTCACTTATTTAACAAAGTAATTTAAATATATATTTCTAAAGTGAATTACTGGAAAATAAAGCAGCTATGTTGCTTTTCTTAAAGATCTGAAAAATAGAAAGGCTTTCTGTAAAAAATGAGGATATAATTTAAATTTAATATTCTACTAAAAACAGAAAGAAACTATCTAAAGAGAATCCACATGTTACAGTACTGCTTAATTTCAATTACATTAGCAAAACATGATGCACTTTACATATGCCCCTGCACATGGGAAAAACGTTTGTTTCTCAATGAACATTGGAGGACCAAAACTCTCACAGCTTGCTTTGTTGCTCTTCATCTAATTCTGCTATTGCTACCAACAAGAGAAGAAAAGTAGCTACATCAGAAGGCATAAGCAAAACTCACTGTTCACACTAAATATGGATATTGCCAAGTAGAAACACATGTGTGAACTAAGAAATTAACTCTCTAAAGACCTWTTTGCTATTAATATTTTTATTATTAAAAATAAAATAGGCCTAATACTTCAGAATCCAATACAGGTTTGCTGTTTTTCTTTTTTCTAAAGAAAATGTAAGGAAACTAAACAGGAGGTTACCTTCAATAAATTCACTTCTTCTAAGGCATTATTTCTTTCACACCTAAGTCTTTCCATTTCATCTGCTTCTGAAGAGTCACAGGGCAAAAGCTGTCAACATTAAAAATAAGAGGAACATTATATATTAGATGGTAAATATGAGGCCTAACCAAAAAAAAAATCTCTTCTGACTTGTCTTAGGCTTTTGCATTCTACTAACAAAATTCAGTTTCTTACTTTGGAGTTGTGGATTAGATAAAAGAGAATACTAAAGTAATCTGGCACAATTCCAGATTGTAAATTTAACCTTACATTGCTGTAAGTTTAACCTTACATTGCTGTAAGAATTACAATTTGAATGATTAAGAGATAGACATACTCTGCAAATCCATTTATGATATTTATTTTAACCAATATAATTTTCCTTAAAAGTTCAAACTCCATGACGGTGTTTATGATGTCAAGTAAACACCAAAATGCGTATATTATCAATTAAGATGGTTTATACAAGCTTAGTGAAGTATGCTTATTAATTTTGTATTTGGTTTTAAACCCAATGGAAGACAATGCAACAGCCAAGTGGCTTAAAGAGATTCCTACACAGAAACTGTGGATTGAAGATAGTATTAATAATTCATCTGCTAGAGAATAACAACAAGCAGCAAAGATGACAATTTCTCTTAYGTATAGCATGATTTCTTTGACAATGAATTACTGTAGAAAAAATAACAATCTAAGCAGAGAAAAACACATAAGTCTGATTATAGTCATCTTCTGCATGGAAGCCACAATAGAACTTGAAAATAGTACAGAAAATATAATTTAAAGGATTAAGTTTATTAAGTGCTATAAAGGATTGCTATATTAAGTATGGGCTTAAAACACAGTCCTTTAAATAGGAGACACAAATGTAGAGTAAGGAAAAGGTAACAAAAATTATTAATAACATCAAGAATCTAATGGGAACCTATTAGTGTAGATTCATTGCTAARGACTATTCAGTATTATAGTTTTCTAATAATCTTGTCACCATTTTACAGAAGAGAAAACAGGCTCCAAAATGTTGGTAACTTGCCTAAGGTTTCATAGTCAATAAATGGTCATTTCACAGTAGTGCACACCTGTAATCCCAGAGGTTCCAGAGKTTGAGGCAAGAGGATCCCTAGTTCAAAGCCAGCCTCAGCAAAGGCAAAGCTGTTAAGTAACTCAGTGAGACCCTGTCTCTAAATAAAACACCATACAAGGCTGGGGATGTGACTTAGTGGTTGAATGCCCCTGAGTYGAATCCCAGGTAAACCCCCTTACACTAAAAAAAAAAGAAAAAGATTCTCACAGAGGTCTTACATCATACTATTTAACAAAAATCAAGRTGGACTAGACATGATCAGATTTGCATTGTATACCTGAGAACAACAGAAGTAAGAATTATTCTTCAAGTTTTCCCCCTAAACATTATTGACTTCTTTTGCCCTGCCACATTAACATTTGAGTATTATGGCCATTATCCATAATGAAAATGATTTCATACTTTTTATCTGTTGCTCCAATGTCTCAGAATTACTCAATATGTACATTCATAAGAATTGATTCTTACTTTAAAAATATTTTTAGTTGTTGATATTTATTTATTTATTTATATGTGGTGCTGAGAATCGAACCCACTGCCTCACATATACCAGGCAAGTGCACTACYACTGAGTCTCAGCCCCAGCCCCAGCCCCAATTCTTACATTTTTTTAGACTGATATTTAACATATTTTCAAATGTAACACTATTTCCCAAAGCATGTTCTAAAAGTCATTAACTAATTTTGTGTAAATGCAAAATTGAGTGGTAGTAACAGTGGTATAGAAAAATATAAATAATAGAAAAAATATATAATTATGATGCATTAAAATAATAATAATAATAATAATAGAAGGGAGATCAGTAGAGTAGATCAAGTGAATGAGCTTAGGGGATGGAGGGGAGAGAAAGGGAAAATACTGGGGAATGAGATTGATCAAATTATGTTATGTGCATGTACAAATACATCATAACAAATCCCTCTATTATGCAGAATCATAATACACCTATACAAAAATTTTAAAAAGTAAAAAAAAAATTCTTTCTTGCTTTGCTTCCCAATAGTCTTATTATGCTAATGAGCATGTACATTTCCAAAAAGAAAAAATAATTTAACAATTTGTCCCTTTCTTCAGTAATTTGACCATACTACAAACCTCATTCTTTTGCCCCTGCTACCTCTATTAATTTGTTTTATTTAGCTCATAGAATTCATGTCTGCAAAGCACAATTTAGGAGATACAGTTACTTAACATTCACATGGGCCTAGTCAAAGTTTTTATCCTGAGAAACAAGAGAATTCAGAAGTCTATATAAAATTTTAGATAATGAATCTATAACAATTTATTGAGAGAAACTATGGATTGGGATTTTAGGAATGTGATCATTAACTTTTAAAACAATTTTTTTGTAGATTGTAGATGGGCAGAATGCCTTTATTTGTTTATTTTTATGTGGTGCTGAGCATCGAACCCAGTGCCTAGCACATGCTAGGCAAGCACTCTACCACTGAGCTACARCCCCAGCCCATTAACTTTTGAGCTTAACATCATGGATGTAAATCACACATAAAAGAGTCAATGGGGGAGTCAAAGCACCAGCCTAAACAATCTGAGGACAAACCATACCTTTAATCCTGTCACTATTTTGGACTACTCAACATAAAAACTKCAGCCAGAGGATTAGCTATAGATGCTATTTGTTAATTCTTTTWWAAAAAATCCCTTTATGCTCRCTGACTTTTTTTAAAAAAATAAAATTCTATTTAAATATATTTCAGCTAATCAAGCAACAAACAAAAAGAACTGTTACTATTTAACACCAATAATTCCAGACAGATGCTTGATTTCAAATCTACCTAAAATGCTTTAACTTCCCTCTCCTTACACTGTAAATCCCTTTCCTGTCTGGGTCTCACATCATCATTTGTGACTCTCAGGCTCCTTGACCTTGAAACAGCTGGCAAATAACATTGGGAGGCATTTCTTCTCTGCTTTCTCCAGTTTCCCTCTGGAGAAGCTGAGACACTGTGAGTCACTGAATTGCGCTAATAGGTCTGAGCTCACCTCTCTTTCACTGTGGCTCCACCATCATCAATTTAGTTAGTTTTGATTTCCGTCATTTCTGGACAGATACTATTCCACTGGCCACATTCCCTGACCYAAATTCAGGTTAAACAGAACAAAACAATAACTCCTGTTTCAGTCTAATTTTATTGATAAGGTTTTATATTAGGAACCCATTCAACTACCTCCTTTCCTTATAAAATTGGACTGTTCCATTCCAGTCACCTAAAAATGTGTATCYTCTTCTGATCTTCTATTTCCCCTGCTACTTTTCACTTCTTGTGTTTTATACAACTTCCCTCCCATCCCCATATTTCTAAAATAATTACAAGCAGCTTCACCAATCCAACTGCTATTTGACAAAGTAAATGCCTCTGCTAACTTTCTTAACCTCTTTGCTCAAGCCTTTTTTTCCTTGAAACTCTCCAGGATTGTGCTACACTACCATCTCACCTACCCTTCTGAATAGTTAAGTTGGTCTGCTTCCAGTGACTTATCTTCATTTTTGCTGCTTAACTGGGAGAAGGGAGAATGTTCCCCAAAGAATGTTCCTTTCCCCCTTTCTTTCTACAAACTGGGTGATCACCTTCACTGTTGTGCTTCAACTATCACTCTCCTAAACATTCCTTCTCCTGGTGTGAAAGTTCCTGAATTTCAATGGCCTTTGGTTATTTACACTTATCAGTAACTTGGATTCACTCTCTCTAAAGCATAACTCATCATCTTCTCTACCTTGAATAAGGTTTTCTCCTTATTTTCCTTTATCTCTTAAGGTATCATCATTCATAATYATCCTAACCAAAACTTTGGCGTTATCTTTGTTCTTCTCCTGGGGTTCTCACATCTGAACGGTAAGTTATGCTCTACTGATGATATACCCGTGGTTGTTTCTGGTAACAACTTAGATTTGTCTTTCGTTTCCTTTATATTTGTCTTTCATTTCCTTTATATTTTTCCTGCTTTCACAATAGTTTAGTTCTTATTATCCTTTTTTAGATTTTTTTTTGCATAGTTCAGTATTTAGAATACCAACCACCAGTTTCATTCCTTTCCTAGGTAACCAATACACACAATTCCTCTTTCTAAAATAGTAATTTGATCTTGGCACTATTCTCCTAAGTGGATTCTGAGTATGGGATAAAAAACTAAACTTTACATTTAATGTTTATCCTTTAAGATCTAACTTCTGTCACCTTCATGTACCCAATTATCTTTTTGAAAAAGTAAACTACTTTCTGCTTTCAATCACATTCTTTTTTTTCCTGTACACTCTAATACTCTTATCATTCTATGCTCACCTCTTAAGCAGACAGAATCCAACTTACCATTTTAAACTAGTTCAAATGCCAACTCTGTTATGAATCTTCCCTAAATGTTTTAAGCTACTGTTATTATTATGATCTTATACAACACACTTTTTTAACCATAATTATTTGTGTACATGACTTTCCCATATACCGTAAGGGCCAGAATTTGTCTATCTTAATAACATGTGCCATGGCACCTGAAACAATGTAATGTGTACTGTAGCTGTTCAATATATATCTGGTAGATGTTATTTTTTTCTGGTACTGGGGACCRAACCCAGGGACAATTTACCACTGAACTATAGCCACAGCCCCACCCACTCCCTTCTTTGAGACAGGGTTTCCATAAGGTGTTTTAGGGCCTCACTAAGTTGCTGAGGCCTTAAACTGTGATTCTCCTGCCTCAGTCTTCAGAGCCACTAGGATTACTGTTGTATGCCACTATGCCCAACCAGAGCCCAAACTGTGAAAAGTCTGCTCTAGGGAATTTACAGTGTTCTCACTGTGCTTTTAAAATAATCCATTCAGATTACTGATTATCCTGATAAGACTGTCACATTACGATGGGCTACAGTCTGCTGTTGCAAGGTTCAGAGTACTGCTGAATGTGCCCCAGCCTTGCCTTTTCTGTGTATGACCTTGTGCCAGCCATGTAACCCTGTGAGACTTTCTT